TGGATCACCTGTGTCAAATGTTGTTATACCCAGGCCCCTCTCTGTCGAAGTAAGTCAGCAGAAAAAAATGCTTAGCTTAGTTTGTTGTTGGATCGTAGGACAAGATGGCGGCTATTTTACCGTCACAAACTGGATCAGATGAGCCTATAACGAAGGAAAATAAACAAAGAAAGCCTGCAGAAAAGAAGGAGTCGAGATCAGGTAGAGATTCCAAGAAGGTATGGATAAAATCACGTTAATTGTTTGAGTACAGATTTCGAATTTCAGAACATAATTATGACATAAGCTTGTCTTCTTACACACGATTAAATTAAGATTTAAATCTACACCTTATTTAGAGCTAGTTTTTTAGAAGATATTCTTTAGAGTACATCGAACTTTCATTTTTCCATTAAATCTGTGTAAAATGTTGTTAAACATTGCCCTGAATTTGGTATTTTCAATATCGATATAACTTCTCTAGATTTACATAATTATTTTGTTTGTGAACTCATGAGCAGAAAAAATCCTCGAGTCCCACTTCGCTGGCTTCAAAATCAAGCCCAACAATGACAAAAGACGTTGGGAAGACATCGCCACTTGACACAACAAGCGAAGAGTCTGAGAGAAGCTTTTTACTGCTGGATGATAAAGAAAAGCTACAAGTAAGTCTTTTATTTACATTCATCAGAGCTAAGAAAACAGCTGTCGAGTTCTTAAATTCATGGCTTTAATGTCAACTAATGTTTTATTCATTTATTTGAAAACTTGCATGTAATTTTGTATTGTATAAGCGTTCAGAACATGTCAAATTAACTATATCACGAATCTTACATACACGACATTTGTTATTGATTCTTGTTGATTATTCAATATTGCATGAAAATTATATATTTTTCTCGATATACAATATTAATGAGAAACCATTCAATTTTTGTACTACGGGAATGTATTTTTTTTACAAAATCTCGACTTTTTTTGATTTTTAAAATCTGATTTGATTAGCCATTCTTTGTTCACTAATCTAATATTTTCTTATAACAATAGGTTCAAAATGCTGAAGAATTGATCCAGAGACTTGGTGCTGAGGGACAATCGAGTATTAAAGTGTTATCGATATTTGGGAATACTGGTGATGGAAAGTCTTACACTTTAAACCATGCTTTCTTCGATGGCGAAGAAGTATTCAAGACATCAGCATCTCCGCTATCTTGCACTGTTGGAGTGTGGGCATCTTATGACAGTAGTAACCAATGTATCATTCTTGACACTGAAGGACTTCTTGGGATGTCTGGAAATCAGAATCAAAGGACAAGGCTTTTACTCAAAGTATTAGCTATATCAGATGTCATTATTTACAGAACTAGGGCAGAGCGCCTTCATACTGATCTTTTTACCTTTCTTGGCGATGCTTCTGAAACTTATCTCAAGCATTTTTCAAAGGAGTTACAAGCTGCAACTCAGAGGTTCAATATAAATGTACCTCTGTGCACTCTTGGACCTGCCGTCATTATCTTTCATGAGACCCAGCACACAGATCTACTTGGTGTTGTTGATGAACAGACATCGCTGACAGGTTTGTTGTAGATCAATCTGGTTATTGGAAGTATATTCAATCATAACCAACAGTTCATCCATCCTTCCATCCCACATCTATCCATCCATCTATCCATTTATCCATAAAACTACTAACCCACTAAAAACCCCTTATCAATCCACATATTTGAACCATCCAACCATGCACCCATCATTCTAGTCACCCACCCACCCACCTAGACCATCCATTAAGTCACCCACCGGTCATGCACTGACATCATTGTTTACATTTTGTGTCATTCAGGAGGGTCCTCAAGGAATCCAGATGATATAATCAAACAAAGATTTGCAGATGTTGGTCGTGTTCCGCAGGCCTTCAGTTCAATCAGATATGTTGGTACCAGGACCTTTTCTCAACCAACAGATTTCAGTTGTTTGAAGAAAGCTGTAAAGCAGAACCTAAGTAATAATTCTGTGAGGTCTGCAAGATCACCAGATATCATATTTAAAGTACTTACGGTRTGTATACAAAGTATAAATCATTATATTTATTGTATGTGAGAATATAGCTTTTCTAGGTTCTCCATTCCATAATATAACTAGCTTCTTTTAAGGAATAAAGCTATGAAAACAGCCAGTTATTAGTCAATGTTGTTGTTGTTTTTTAAAACAAGCTGCACCAAATTTTCGGCAACTAGAAAGCAAGACTAGTTAATCAGATAATTAACTAGATAATCACCAAAATAATTCATATCTTAGTCCCATTTTCTTGGATAAATGACAATGTTTAGCATGTGGCAACACCAGTAAGAGCCATTTCTTCTCAGCAATCAGTCCTTAAGTTTGTCACTACCATTCTCCAAGGATGGGTGCTTTCAATTCCTTAGTAACTTGTCAGAACTAAATGAAGCTTGTAAAGGATCTGATGTCTCATAATCATTTGAATTGAGTACAGTAATTTATAATACAATATTTCTTATTTAAATGCTTCAATGTCTTTTGCAGTTTTTGAATGAGAAATTTTCTGGTGATATAGAACGGATCATTGTCAGTGCCTTCCCAGATGCATACTTTACATGTCAGTCTGTCTGTCTAGCATGTGGGTGAGTATACTGATATTATTTTAAGGTGACTGCCTACTTTTGGAAATTGATTTAAGCTTTTTTTAAAACTTCGATTTTCTGAATTGAAATTTATTGCTGATTCTAAATCTGGAAAGAAAAATAGGGTGTCCCGAGCTCGTTTTCGAGATAATCAGCATTTAATGGAAGCCTACACATGAGCTTTTGGAGTAAAAATTGCACCACCAGAAGTGATTAGAAAAAAATTAAGATTAATAAGATGATAGTTATTTGCAGACTATATGATTGCACGAACGAAGGCTAGTCAATCCTTCTACAATAATACATGGATATTTTCAACAAAAAGACAGAGAGATACATTGATTTGTCATATTTTGTAGTTTCGGTGCTCTTAAAAAATCTCATAAAGTGGAACAAAAATCCCTACAAAAATCTATTTTTCATGTGTTCCTGATTTAAACTTTTCCTAAAATGTTGATATAACCTAGATTTTTAGGAGTATTTTTGAATGAGCTATCAAAATATATAGAGTTCCGTGCAAAATTTGAGGGTTTTGCCCTGTTGAAGCTCAAAACGCGCATGGTTCTTCAATAAAATCTTGTAGATTTTTCAGCAGCTTTTGAGCGCGCACACATCGTGGGCTCAAATTGAACGTTCAAAAGTAGGCAGCCACCTTAAGAACTATCCATAGGATAAATCCTTATCCAGAGGAATAAGCTTTATCCAGAAGGCACTCATTTGATCACAGGAAGCTCAGAGTTAAGATAAGAGTTTTAACCTATGCATAATTATCATTCAAAAGTGCTTTCATCCACTGGATCATGCTTATCTGGRCCCGGTTGAATTGTATGGAGGGTGGGTAGTGCTACCAGAGAGATAAGTCCCCTTATCCAGTCAATATAAAAGTCGATGCTGTTATCCAATAAATTTATATCCACTGGATAAGGTTTGTCTGTCAGATAGTGCTATCCATGCTTCGTAAAACCAGACCCTGGTGAAAAACTCCCTACTCCTGGCTCCAGGATATAATTTTATCTGTTATACCTGTGCTATCTGGAAATGCATTTTTCAATATACACCAACTTGCAAGAACGTTGACATACGAAAATAGAACATTAGTGATTTAGTGGGATAGGAATTATATTAAAAAACAAAAGAAGATCACTGAAGCTGAACTTTTTCCTTTGTCTTTTAATGTATTCCTTTCTCACTAAATTACTAATGTTCTATTTTCGTATGTCAACGTTCTTGCAAGTAGGTGTATATAATTTGGGATACCTGTGACTCCACAGGAAGACCAATTTTATTAATCCTTATTTTTACTTTACAAATCTTACAACAGAGCACACTGTCAACAAAGTATGAATCATGATAATGAGAATATAGAACACAAATGTGACGTACGATGCCAGTACCAAGCGCAGTATGATAATAGATATTTCACATGTAAGGTAAGAGAAAAATTTATCATTATATGACCCATATGGCCCTGCTCGCGTGCTCTAATAAAACCTTTGGAAAAAGTCACATGATGTGTGCCGGATGGGTCGATGTAAGTGGACAGGGGAAAAACCCGTCACCCCTTCTCGGTTTACTAGTTTACTGGTGCTGTATTTATCAATTTTAGCAGAATTTTGCAGCCTCTTTTATAACAGAAATTGGGTTATATGATAAAATACTTATTGGTCATTTGCCAGGGCTGCAGATTGGTACCCTGATGATTGCACTGATTGAACCAGTCTGTGAGAGCAATTAATATAACACGCGCACATGTCTCTGTACTGTGACATAAACACGCTGGAAGAGAGAAAAGCAAGCTTAGAAACATAAGGCGTAGCCGAGTCTTTCTCTTTAACGCCGAGTGTTACTCTTGCTTCTCAATTGCTTTACAGCTCACAGAGTGTTTATATCACAGCAGAGACAGAAGCAGCCATTTTATATTGCTAATTATAGAATATGTTTGAACGATTTTGCGCGAGCGTATCTCTTTCCTGATATAAACATGGTAGGCATCCAATCAGCTCGCACGTTATTTCATATATTTCATAATGGTAATATTTAAATGCTATCCCTTCTTAGGCTTGCTACGAGAAAGGAAAGCTTAGAGTTGTCATTCCTAAAATGTGTTCAGCATCTGAGGGTTCTTCATGGTTGGGTATTGTCAAGTACGCATGGTCAGGGTAGGTAGCCTATCAGTCTAATGGATAGAAAGACCATCACAGCCGATTTGAAAACTCACAATACGAAGTCTCTTGGAAGAGTTGTGTGCCGAAGCACTACTGCACGAAAACTTTATAGTATCTACCGTGCCGTGTTCGAGCATATTAGAGCAGTATTTGTATGACTGTGAAAAGCTCACGGCACGAACACGGTCGTGACGTGAGAAGGCCTGACCAATTGCATTGCACGAGAATTTACTCACCATCCAATCAAATACCCGAAACACGGCATGAACACGGCGCGGACACGGTCACGCCAAGGTCACGGTACTGTAAGATCAATCACATTGCCTGAGTAAAAAATTAGCCAATTAAATTTCTAAAAAAAAACCATCACGATCAATGTAAGGAACGCATATTGATACTGAGCTTTTCACAGTCATGCGCAAACTGCTCTAGTATAACGTGCCGTGTTTGAGCATATTTTTGGCTAAGTATATTGGCATTATTACGAATGATGACGTTATAGTATTCTCTATCGTTAACACAATGCGCCTGTTTTTGTCCAAACAAAGATATCTCCTTCTGTGGTTATTAACTTTGCGCAAGCTCACAACTGCTTTACCATTTCCGTCATTTCAGTTACGTGCTCGAGTGCCCGGAATGTGGAATCATTTTCCGTAGCCGTCAACACTGGTATGGCAACAGGGATCCCGTAAAAACAGTCGTGCGTCCCGAGATAAAACATGTTTGGCCTGGAGTAAGTTGACCCGTTTCCATCTAGTAGTCGCGGGAGTGGTTTTCTGAAGGGGGAGGGGGTTTGGTGGATTATGCAGGGATTTATGATGTATGTGCGTGTGTGGTGGGAGGGAGTAGTGTGGTGCAGGGTCATATATATTTATATACCCAAAATGAAGAAGGGGAGACTAACGCGATGGCGGTTTATGTGGGGCGAGAGCTTGTAAGCAGAAACAAATTTCTGCACTTCTGCAGAGGAAAAGACAGCATAGTAGAGGTGGAGGTTAAGATCTCGTTCGTGGATCTGTTTTTGGGAAGCGCGAAGTAGTGGGTGTCAGGGAAAATTTTTTTGAATTTGTTTGGAGTTGGATTTATATGTGTGGTGGGCGAGGTGTGTGTGAGTGGGGATGGATTACGTGAAACAAGCCTGCCCCC